AACTATTGTTACTGTTCCCAATCTGTTTGTGAAGTTAGTTGGTTCCGTGACTAACTGTTCTAAAACCCAGAGTGGTCTTAACCAACCAGATAGGCGAGATATAAATAAAATAAAATAAATAAATAAATAAATAAATAAATAAATAAATAAATATTTAGAAATATCATAATTTGAAAGTACATGCACCCATTTGTTACAGCATGTTCCTTCTGTTACTGTCTTTCTGTTTGCCTTCTTCATCAAGAGCTTTTTCTCTGTTTTGGTCAGAAAAATGAAGATATGTCCCCAATACTAAATTATTTTTAGATCAGGAGCAGGAATGGATAACTTGGGTCTTCTAGAGTGGTTGGACTGGTTTTCAAGCGTAACCAGTAGTTAGGATTATGATCATTGAAGTTTAGCTATTTCTGGAGGACCTCAAGTTACCCGTCTGATTCAGAGGTGTCATTTGAGTAGTGCAAAGCTTCTACTCAAATGGAGGTGGAAATTCCAGTTGTATAAGCCTTTGTGTTTGCTTTTTCACAAAGCATTTGAAAAGCTATAAGGTATTGTAAAATCCATTTCTTTAAGCATGTGCACTAGTTGTTTCACAAGCAGTTGCACAACACATACAACTATATTTGACCTAGAGGCTGCCTGCACTAGTTGCATATTGTACTGTTTTAGTGCTTGTGGAACAATTCCACCTCCTGCTTTTTTCCCCACTGGCATCACATTGGATGCGACCCAACGTTTCTGCCCATTCTGATTCTGAAGAAGAGTCCATTCCTTTTAGGCTTTCTAGTTTATTGGATTCGATGCCTTTTGTATATGTTGAAAAGAAATACCATTCCTGATATGCTGCCCCTTGTCTTTGTTATGTCCAGGGTTAACTGTGTGCTTTATAGAACCCAGTAGCCCCCTCTTCCATTGTCACTTGCTTCATTGCCAAGTCCAAAGGGGAGAGCTTCCTATTTGTGTATTGGTTCTCCACATAAGCAAGAACCTAGATTTTCCAGGATTCTTGCTCACAGAGAGAACCAAAATGCTAGCAGGAACTTCTCTTCTTCTGATTCCTCATTGAAACGGTTGGCTGGGTGTTGGGTTAACCAGTTCAGGCCCTCTGTCTTATCTTGATGGCTTCTACGATTGCCTCTTAGAAATGTAGTTCCAAAACACCTATCCAGCCTGTCTCTTTTGCTTCAGGTTTATTATACAATGCTTCCATTTCATGGAATAGTGGTTGTTGTTTTTTTCTTTTTGCTCACCGACAACTACTATTCCATCATGACTTCCATGACTTGAAAGACTGACTCAGCCATCCTTAAGGGGGAAATCGTCTCCAGCACAAACTGCTCCTAAGTTCCTGTCATCCTCCTTTCAAAAAACAGTCTGACATCGACACACTGGCAGCCTGGGTCCATTGCAATTCAGATTGAGCCTGTCCCTTTTGCACAGTCTCAGCTTGTCCCAGAAAGTCCTCATCCATGCCCTGAGACTCCTCTGCATGCAATTTTTCTCACTGGTAAGGAAAGATAAATCCACCTCAGGCTTTGGGGAGAGTGGGGTGCAGGAGTGGAAAGGCTCATCCATATTTATCAAACACGATCTCCGATTTGGCAAATCCTGTCCGATCGCCCCAGCTCTATTTTGCATTATTAAATATTCATACATGCTGGTTGACAATGTGGAGTTTGCACATTTTTTCACTGCTGAATCATTTATGTACAATCAAAGGAGACACAGAACGCGGCAAAGAAAACCTTCCCCTATTAACTCTTGTCCACTTGGCTGCAAACCTCTTGCCATACTTTTCACACATAATCCCTGACGTGGGAACAGTGCAGAGCTTGGATTCTTCAATTTGCAATTCAACAGCTGACTAATATTAGATGTGGAGTGGCTCTAAAAATTCATAATATTGTACAGAGAATGATGGTAGCATTTCCAAATTGCCCTGCAATGGTGAAGATGAGTGGCCACATGCAGCCCCCTACATCATTTTTGGGTCTCCAGGAGCCAGTGATAAATCCACCCAATGCTGGGGGGGGGGAGGGGGAAAATCCCTCCTTCTGGACCTGTAATAGCAGGTTTTCCATGGGTGTATGTGGTTGGAGGAAGTTGCACAATAAAAAATAAAATCAAAAGATGCCCCACTTCATTGCACTAGAACCTTTCCACAAATAGGAACTGAGATGTCTCTTATAGCACTGTATATATAGAACTGATGATTCGTATACTACAGACTAATCAGATTTGTACTGAACTGTGCCGATTTTTTAAAAAAAAGAATGATCCCTTTTTAAATTCCCCCCTTCATTTTTTGCTGAAGAATTTGTGCTAATCCATTCCCACCTCCCTTTCCAAAGCTCCCTATTTTTCCATATCCTTCAACCAACCCATAGGAAAAGGCTGAGAGTGAGATTAGCGAAGAAAATCCAGAATGAATGTACTTAAAGCTGTTACAATCTGTCACCTGCCAGTGTAGAGCATGTTGGAGGGACTTAACAGGATAACAGCAAGCTGATTAGGTTCAGGCGGGTGAGCATACATGTCTCCTTCTTCCTTCCTGGGTTTAAAGAGGCTGATCCCCAGTCCCCTCATACACAGCTGATTTTCCTGAATTCACAAGAGGCTGGGATATTTCTCATGCTGTTAATCAGGGGTTGAGGCAAGGATCCCAAAGTGGCTGCCCATCCTCACTGACCTTTTGTGACACCACATTTCTTTTCACTAACCCTTCTGGGTCATCTTGGGCCATGTGTAAATGGATGACACATTTTCGTTCGCACACTGTACATCAAAGTAACAACCGAGCATCGCTGGTGCATCACTTAAAAAGAAATGAAAGAATCCACCAAAGATTTTCTCATTTAGTGGAGATCAAACTTTTCTGTGCTACCACACTGAAAGCTTTATAAGATGCTTTTTACTACTGTGTTTCCCAGAAAATAAGACTGGGTCTTATATTAATTTTTGATCCCCCCCCCAAAAAAAACCCACATTAGGGCTTATTTTCGGGGAATTTTTTTTTCATGTACAACAATCTACGTTTATTCAAACACAGTCATGTTATCTTCTTCTGGTTGCTGCACAATAGTTGAGGGCAGGGTTTCAGTTCACCAGGCCTTATTTTTGGGGTAGGGCTTATATTAAGAGCATCCTGAAAAATCGTACTAGGGCTTATTTTCGGGGAAACAGAGTAGTAATTAATTCTCAATTTTCATTACAGTGTTTGGAGAGAGTCCTGTTGTAATGTTGAGCAAGTAATTTATTTGTTACAATCCTACCACTTGTTGCTTTTTAAATACTTTCTTTTTTAAAAAAAAGCTTAGGTTTGATAAGAGAATGGCATAAAACCTGCAAAATTCCTGTCACAATGCCCCTTAAAATGCCCTCAAAAGTAATGTTTGACAATAACTAGAAATGACACCAACAAAAAACCTGATTGCAGCTAACTTATTACGTTTAGCTCATTATTTCTGACCATTCATCCCTGAATACACTGGATCTTGTCTGAAATTAGAAGCTACATAGAGTCAGTTCAGTCGTCGTTCACATCGCTGAGGTAGATAGACCAATGATTTGACTCAGTATAAGGCAATGTCTTGTGTTTTATTTCAATGTAATTGAGTTTTTTGTTGAATAATGAAATGGGGCTTCAGACAGAGAGCCTTCCTTGATGCCATAATATAACTATTATGTATTTAGAGGCCATTGTGGGAAAGGTGAGCATCTGTGCTGAATTGTTGAAGTTGTATTCTTTGTCTTGAAAGAAGAGAAAGCAGAAGACCTCTTGTAGTTTCTGAGAACACTTCCAGGCACTGTAGAGATGAATAATACTAGCAGAATGTACATAGAGAATACAACAGAAAGTACCAAAAGAGTTGGTGACTCTTGTGGGGGTTTAGACACCTTGGACATAACATATGAGACTTAGTAGTAACAGAACGAAGAAATATCTGGATCATTAACATTGCAATTCCAGGGGATGCCAGAGTTCAAAACAAAGATTTGGAAAAACTAACAAAGTACAGAGAGTTTTTCGGGCTGTTTGGCCATGTTCAGCCGAAAAACCTACAACAACCATCAGATCCCAGCCATGAAAGCCTTCGAGAATACAAAGTACAGAGACCTGGCAATCGAAACATCTCACTTGTGGATGAAACACACTTTAGTGGTCCCCATAGTTGTTGGAGCTTTGGGAATGATATTAAGAAATTTCACACAGTATTATAAGCAGTTGCAGATCTCAGAAATCACACCATCAGAGCTACAAAAATGGCAATATTAGGAACAGCATATATACTGCACTAACATTTAACAGATACTTACATTTTTGGTTAAAACTTGTATCTGTTATATAATACCATTCAGTGTTTTTATAATTTTGATTAAATGTGCCTGGTATTTTTGTATGATGATAATGATGACATTAGAACTGCAGAGCTGGAAAGGACCCTATGGATGATTGAGTCCAACCCTTGTCACAAGGGAGGCACGGTAGGAAACTGAACTTCCAACCTCTGGCTCTTAGCTAGATACCTAAACCACAGATTCCATCAAGATATCTTCATCATTCTCGGCCTGGATATTGTTTTCAAGAGTTCAAATGTTGCAGAGATTGGTATAGTTCTTGCTTTGTGCTGCTGTCTATAATGCAAAAGAGGGGAAAGATAGGGATAGGATGACATGAATAGAAGCCAAGGCACGAGGGAAGGCACACCTGTGACTAAAGCCAAAGGGGCTGTTAGGAAACACCTGGTGGTGCTTCTTAGCACCAACTGCCAGGTTATGTGTGACAAGAGGGTGAGAGAAGAGGCGTGGCTCATGCAGAACATTCCAGGTTTGATCCTTGACATTTCCAAGTACAATTGGGAAAGAGTCCTGCCTGGAACCCTGGACAGAAACTCTTCATTAGTAAGAGATGACAGAGTGATAATTGAATGCTTTCAGTCAGTGATGGCAGTCTCCTGATTCCTCTTAGTATCATCCATTTTCTTTCCTGTTTCTTCCCCTAGGTCTCCTGACAGTGGTAGTAAATCTGCCTGTAAGAGCTGCTTCTCTACTTCCTGTGTACTGATGCCACAGTTCAGGAGTCATCTCATCATGGGACAGAAAGTGCAATCAACTTCTTCAATAAAGGTTCAATTCCAAGAATCAGGACATATCCCATCTGTATTTTCTCTGGTGCCTGCACATGGGGAAGAGAGGTTGCCAGAACAGCATACTGCGGTTATATGTGTGAAATTGTCTTTTCTTTCTGCCCTCTCCCCACTTCAAAAGAAAGTATGTTCTGGCTTACTTTGTGGGTTTTTAATCTGAAATATGGTTTTCTGTAGACTTCCTTTTTCTCTTTCTGTGACAATGGAGGATTTACCACTTGGTACCCAAAATATTGATGGGCACCCTTCACCTGGGGAGGAATGACTGCCTTCTGGAAACATATGGTTGTGACGGACTGAGGCAGTTCCTAAGAGCCTAGGATGCCCTCCAGTTGCTATGAAGAAAGCATTATCTTTTTCCTGTGCCTCTTCCTTTCACTCATTCCCCTACCCTCCAAGGAGGTGAGAAAATGCTAAAGAAAACATGTCATCGTTGCCACTCCAGACCAGCATCTGCTTTGCATACAGAGGGAAAGAGTTCACCAAAGGCTTGGAACATACTATATGCCACTCTCCAGTAAAAGATCCTTGCAAAATGGCAGGGTGAATGACTGGGACAAAAATGTGTATTTAATTAACTTCTCTTCCATTTGTGTTTACAAGCTTTTTATTTATATCAATTCACTGATGGCATCTGCCCAATCAACTGCTGAAAACAATTCTTATTTGCCAATAATCAGGGGCAGGCTCATAATTAGAGCAACACTGATTTAATATGATGACTTACACACCATTGTTAGCATATTCTGACTTGAGGAAGGATTCTTGGGATTGAGCTTTCATACTCGGCTTTAGAAAGCATAAACTCCCATTGCTTTTTGTCTTTCAGACCAAACCTATTAGCTTGGACTGCGTTGGAAATTTTTGAAATGGTTGGTTTTTCCCAGAGCATAGGATGGAGCCTTTGAAACAGGTTCATCTTTTATTAATGCTCCTTTCACTAGAATGATTAGTCCTTAAAACATTATTACTCAGGAGTTAAAAGGAGCAGTTTCTTCCACAGTTGTTAAACTGGAAGATACCACATTACAAAAGGTAAAGATTGAGACAGTGTTTTGGTGCTAATGGATACTTGAGACATGCTGTCCACACTGGCTCTACTTGACTGTGGCCTGCCATTGTGACCATTGGCAACTAGGGGCAAGAGGTATGCGTATGTCAAGAGAATGTTAGGTGTCAGAGTAGGTTGATGTGGTTCTTCAGAGCCCTGCTCTACTAAACAGAGGTTCCAGAATGCCAAATCATGCGCCACTAAACCCCCAAAAAGGTTGCCATACGTCAGAATTGACTTGATGGCACACGATAATTATTATGCATTCGTCACCACAGGCTGGTAGCCTTACCTGTTTGGGGGTGAGGAAGTTCTAACTTCATACTCTGGGCCTGCATGGTAAGCAGTGTGCTTTCCCAACCTAGTTTTTACGTATCACAGCTGTCTGACTAACAAGGGAGTTTCTTGCCTTTAAAGCTAGAACACTTGCAATTTGTTTACCAAGGAGGCTCACCGGTGAGTTTTTGTCTGTGCTGACCATCTGCCCTCTTGATTTCAAGTCTTCCCTGACTTAGCAACAAAACTCCTTTAAATTTTTGCATTGTGTTGTGTCTGTCACTCACTTCTGGTATCTGATTAAAAAATATTAAAAGCCCCCCCAAGACCTACTGGTTACTACTGACCAAGGGTTTGAGAAATAATGCTGTAGAAAACTCAGCCCTCTTCACATGTAAATATCAAAACCTCAGAATTCAACCTTATTTCGACATCCCTTTTTTGTGTCATTGTGAATTGGACTTTTATGTTTTGAGGGCCTTTCCCACTGTAATCAATTCCCAAAATTTGTGACATAAGAAAAGGTAAGGAAATAAAATTCTAACTTTATTAGTCAAAGAGGAAACCTCTCTATCCTTCCTGTGTCTATGGGTAGCATAGTTCCTTTCACATGTATGTTCAGAGACCATACAGTGGAGGATTTATGACTGCAATTGTGAACATTCAACATTGATCAAGAAAATCTAAGACATCTATGTAACAAAAGCCAGCACTTCCTGGAGAGGAAATCCCATATGCAGGGGAAAACATGCAAAGATTTATACTGGGACTCAGAAATAATAGCATGGGAATTCAACAAGGAGGTCACTAGTGACACAGCTCTGCTAGGAATGATCTAGAGACATTTCTGAAGGGATTTGATTGTAATACTGCAGGGACAGAATGTTCCACAGTGGAGTTGAGCCTGAGATAACTGACTGGGGTTCTTAGTGGTGAATGTGTTGATATACGGACATTTGAGAAAGCTCATGTTGCCAATTCAGCTTGGAGAGGCAGTTCAACCAATTCCCTAATGACTTAAGGATAGGGGTCTTAACAGACAGAAAAAGGGGATTGATATATTTGTGCTACTGATGCAGTGGTGGTGGGGGGAAATGGGGCCTTGACATTTAGGACCCAAGGTCTGCCAACCAGCCTGCAGTGCAAAAGGAGTAAGGTTGCAACAACACTGACAATCGAAGCAATTCAGCTTTGCTGGAGCTTGAGTTGCAGTCTATTTTATGCTTCTGTTTAGATTTGGTGATCACACAGAGACAACAGATTGTTTCAGTGTCCACACTGGCCCCACAGTTCAATACAGTTGATCCACACCAGAGCCCTGCTTCCTTTGATTCCGTCCTCTGCTGATCCTCATCTGTCCTTTTAGAGTTCATTGTAAAGCCAGGAGGCTGTTTAAAATGTTGCACAGCACTAGAGAAAAAGGGACAGTTTTCCGAAGTTCTCCATAACATACAAACACTCACATACACACATACTGCACAAAGAGTAATGTGCTGTAATTTGTCACAGTTGTTTCTCTTCCATATTGATTTTTTCTTTTTTTGTCCATCCCAAGGTGATATAGCACTAAACTTGGTAGCTACTCATTGTGATCATTCTTATTTCTGCTTTTCATGGTGTCAGCAATAAGGCCCTGCTCAATGTTTATGCAATGGTGCGAGAAGGTACTTGTCTGAAATTGGATATTCATAAACATGGAGCTCATTGTTCCTGGTGCTTGAGTTGTGGACCAACTTGGTTTACACATGGTTCACCATCAGAATCCCTGAGGCATATCAGGAGCCCAGCCTCTAGATGCATAGTTATCGACAGAGGTCATACTGTATATAGCTGTGTTGGTCCACAAAGCATTGGGAAGGGAATTTTTTTTAAAAAAAAACTGCAGAATAATACTTTTATTAGCCATTTAAAACCTCACAAAATAGTGAGTATTGACAAGACCTAACAAATGTGTTGGGCTGTTGCAAGAACAGGGTAGTCCACCAGATATTGTTGAGCTAGCGTTGCCATCATCTTTCCTAATCTGCTGTGCTGGCTAGGGATGATAAGAAAGGCAGTCTGGAAACATTGGAGAGCCACATGTTACCCACTTGTGCCTTTTTTTTTCTGCAATAATCATGTCACTTTTGGTTTCCATTAAGATGTTGACCTGAAACCATGTAGGGATTAGGGTGATAGGGATGCAGATGTTCATATAATTCTCGCCTCATCTGGAAATTATGCAGACCTTTCTGTAGTCAGTGTGTGTGTCTGCATAGGCATTTGTAAGCACATTCAGCTGAATGTGGCTATAGCATTTCTGTGATCAGGACTCCTGATCATGAAAACATTATAAGCATATTTAACACAACACCTATGCAGACTGTACTAGATACGGCAAAGCCCTGCTTGACTTCCTGGTGTGCAGGACTTACTTGCATCCTCAAGTGAGCACTACCTTTTGAGCTCTCTGCAGTTTCAGGCTTAACAACTGAAGCTGTGCTCAATGTATGTATCAATGTATGTACAAATTCCAGAGGCAGATGAAATGAAGGTGGATAGCTGGAATTCTTGGCACCTATATGAGAACACAGAAAAATCTAACCTGATTTGAAGAGGCTTCCAACCATCTGAGCTCTAGTGGCCCACAGTGATGGAACAAAGGAAGGCTGAAGTCCTATGTCTTATTTCCATTGCACCAGATTGTTCCTCTCCTTGTTGTGGTGTATAAAGTTCAATTCTCACTGCTTCTTCAAAGTATGGTGGATAATGCTCTGTTCAAAGAAATTACTTTCCTGGCAATCAGCAAACGTTAGCATCTAGCAGATTGGAAAAAGCAGCTCAACGACAGGGTTAGAAGCCATCTTCCTCCACCAGCAATGCGATTGAAAACAACAACAGATTTTCGTTAATCTGGGCAAATGTCCAAATTGAGTGGATTATGCATACATCAAGCTAGCATTAGTTAAAATACCTGCCCATTCTGTGTCTCCCATTGCTATACAATCAGAGTGCAGAGGGAGGCCAAATCTCTGAGGTACTAATTTATGTCTCAGCCTAATTACTGTTGATTGGATTTCCACATGCAACTGTCTCTCTCATTATCATTGCACCCACTTGAAGATGTTCCATGTGAAGGCTTCCTAAAGAATCCATTTAAATGACAGATAGAGGCTGCTTGCAGTCTGGACACACAAGATCCCAGCCAAGGACTCATTAATTATCCATAAAATATTGTCTGGTTGAAAACAGAAGTGTCCCCTGTCTGCAAAAAGGACATCTAGCAGTTGCTGTCCCCATGTGAGGCCTGATTCAAATTCTGGAGCCAGGGGCTCCTGTTTCATCAACTTCTGTCATACTCTGAGCACTTCTTGCTGTTTAATTATTCCCCTGAGACATGAACAATGTGTGGATAGACAGGGCTTCCGAGACCATCAGTCAGTTCCTGGATCCTGCCATCTAGCCAACCTTGATGTTAGACTTTTTAAGGCAGTGGTTCTTGATCCTTTGAACCTTCAGATACTTTAAAATTCACATCCAAGAATTGCCTCATTTCCTTGCTGGGTGAGGCTTTATAGACCTGAAACCCAAGCGAGTGAGAACAACTCTGGTAGGGTTCATATTCAAACAAAAACCAGTGATATGGGTTTTACCAAAAGAGGTAAATAAATCCACTGAAGTGAAACTATAAGTGTGTGATATCCAGAGTATATGAGAGACAGCTGCCAATTTCAGCTCCACATGAAACAAACTGTCACCTTACACTGACCAGCTTTGAAGAGAACCACCAATTGCTGTTCCAGAATGATTATTTCTGAGCAGAAGAAATGCTGCCCCAGAATTCTCAATTCTGTATGCCCAAAATACTCCACAAAGGTACAGGATCCAGATTTACTAGAGCAGCTTTCTTTAAATCCTGCCTCAAGAGTATAGATCTCAAGAAAATTCCCCTGAGTAAATATGAGCATCAATCTATACCAGGGTGGGTGGCATGTAACCCTTGGGCCACCCAGACATCCCAAGGCATTTCTGTGGCTTCCAAAGCAATGTGGTGGCCACTGACTTTCAAAATGCAAAACATTTTTGTTACTGTTAAAAATGCCACTTATGGTGGTCCTTGCTGAGATTTCCTAAAGATCTCACCATCAAATGTGAGGATGGGTGGGGAGAGACCACAGTGTCCTGTTGAACACTTCCTGAATTCCTCCCTCCCTCTTTCTTTCTTTCTTTCTTTCTTTCTTTCTTTCTTTCTTTCTTTCTTTCTTTCTTTCTTTCTTTCTTTCTTTCTTTCTTTCTTTCTTTCTTTCTTTCTTTCTTTCTTTCTTTCTTTCTTTCTT